TCTCTCCCCCCCCGTTGGCTCTGTGCAGTTATGTAGAGAATCAGAATTGTTATACGCTCCCCCCCATGCGCACCCGGTCAGAATAAAAACAAACAGGAGGGAAAAAAAAAAAGAACACCCCCCAAAAAGGGAAAATAAATCGAGCGGTCAGAAATCTAACCGGGAGGGGAAGGACATCTGGGAGAGACGGAAGAGGAGAGGGTTAATAAAGAGAAAGAAAGAGAGAAAGGGAGAGAAACAGAAGGGGAGAGGGGGAGAGAGAGGGAGAGAGAGAAGCGAGCCCCCGAAATCAGAAAAGTGGCTGCTGTATATGGAGTTCTCCCAGCCAGCTCCCCCAGCGCCTGCGAGCCTGTATTTTGGGGGAAGTATAGAGTCTGAAGTGAAGAGTTGAGGGAAGGAGCGCTCGAGTTTCTGCAGGCAGGCAGGCAGGCAGGCAGGCAGGCAGGCAGGCAGGCAGGCAGGCAGGCAGGCAGGCAGGCAGGCAGGCAGGCAGGCAGGCAGGCAGGCAGGCAGGCAGGCAGGCAGGCAGGCAGGCAGGCAGGCAGGCAGGCAGGCAGGCTTTGTAATGCAAGCCAGCCTCTCCGACTGCGAGCACACTGCTGAAGCCAAACGATGATAGCGCTCATCAGCTCCTCTCCGGACTCGCGGAGCCATAAATACTCTTTCGCACACTCTCGATTACACCCCCTCTCTCCCTCTTTCTGTATCCACGCCGGGAACAAAAAAGACTATGCATTATAAATATACGCATCCCTTCACACACGCACTCGCCGAAGCGCTATATGCACGCACACGCATCTTAGATGTGTGCATTTGCACGCCTGTGGGTACGCAGGGCCAGGCTCGATGGAGCTGGGCAGTCTAGAAGGGAAGAGCACTTTGTAAAAGTACTGCCCTATATGGTAGGAAAGAAGAGCAACTGCTCAAATCAGCACATCCAGGATCGTGCTGTTCCTGGCAGCGAGAGCTTTATAGTTTTATAAGTTGCCACAAACAGTCAAGATCTAGTCATGGAGCACGTTTGCACGTGAAGGGGGGGGGGAAAATCCTCATCTTTCTTCCATTTCTATTCTTCCTGGTCTGGTGCGTGGGGAAGAGGCCTGGGTGACTCCTTCCGGGGGGCTAGCTGCCTTACCGCCCCCCTTCCCCCCTTCCGCAGTTCGGATAAATCTCCTGGAATACGATCACGATGTAATTAATTTCCCAAATAACATAATCTCTTCCTCTGCCCCCCCCCTCCGGCCCTGGCCACCATCAGCTTCTAGCCGTTGCCAGCTCTGCTCCGGTCCGGCTGCGGGAGGACGAGGAGAAGGCAC